GAAAATGATATGGTTGCAATGATAATATTAGACATACGTTACTCATATGAATTTTAGCTAAAGGGCACCCGTTAATAACATTCATCGCAAGTGGTGTTCGTGATATAAAATCATGATACCAGATTTTTGCGATGTGGAAGAAATGCGGAGCTTTAATTTTAGGGTAGCTATAAATTTTTTAAATATAAAGTTTAAATTATGCCGCTCTTTGCATTCAGGTACATACACCGGCACATTTATTGGAATAACATGTATATTTTTTTGCACAGCTAATAGAGCAAAGTTTAACTGCTGCAGTAAATGCGCATTAAGAATGCTTATTACGTAGAAAATCAGTGTGATTTGAGGATTCACACAAGGTACTACGCCGTTCTGGTGAACGCCACCTATAGAAAAATGGCCCAGTGACCATTTCGCCCTTTATCTTAACCATTGCAAACCTTTGATACAGCCATGTGGCAAAAAACACTCGACCAGCTAAATACCTCTGCCTATCTGCTCACCATAACTGAAAGTTACTTCGATGGAAGAGCGTCGATAGTTGGGGAGACCAGAAAGATCATAGGACTTTCACAGATCCGTTTTAAGGCCATTGTTGTGGAACGTGTTCAACGATGGGGTTTGGAGGCTGAAGATGCTGCCCACTTGATAGCGTATGGTAACGACTTGGCATTTTTGGTAACAAGTAATGAGAATCATACGTTAACAGGTTTCCTGTAGTATAGAACAACCAATATCGGCATATAATTGGAGGAAAATGGCTTAAAGCTAGCCTCTTAAAAAACTGAGGTGGTAACGTTCTCTGAAAGGCCACAAGTGACCTCACTCTCAGTAAATATTGGGAACGCTTAGACACAGTCAGCGAGATGGATCAAGAGACAAAAAACATGACCAAAAGTCCAACAATTTTTTTCGCATTTGAGTCCCCATTTTGTTCACAGTTGTAGTGATGAGTAAATTATCTTTTAATAGCATTAGTTTCATTTAGATGGCTCTGAATGCGGGATTATAGTGAAATGAATTTATAATGTTACTTGACCCGTTTAGAAAATGAGTAGCGAGGAACTTTCTGAAAATCACTGTATATTTGAAATCCAGTTGAGAAAAATAGCTCATATTTGGAGTAATTTTGTAGCTTTTAACGTTATTTTTTCCAGTCGTTTCGAAGTCAAATTGGGAATGTCCAAAAGTCATTCGTCTAGGGTCAACTAATTTCCTATAAAACTGTCATTATCGTACAAGTAAGCTCATCATCATTATACCGAAATAATGTGGAGTCATATATCGGCGGATAATAATAAACACATCATAGACATCGATAACAAAATTCTGTTCTGGAGACAATAAGAGTGCGCCCTTTCCAATTTATGGAAGAAGTGACATGCAATTTTTATTAATAGAAATATAATGGGAGGAAAACAATTACCACGCGTGTTCACTTTCAGACAGAAACAATCTGTGGCGACAATGATGGACACGTTGTAAATTAGATTCAGGGCAGGATTAAACGATATTTTGAGCCATGCTCAAGTCAATTTTAGCTTAAAACACCATATTAGAGCATTAAAAAATATCTCCACACATGGCCGCGTTACGCGCTGAGATCTGTGTGAGCAACTTCATCATGGACGTCTCTCCCGTATATCTAAAAACAGCTGAAATATCCCTACGATATTAAAATTCTCATAGTACTTCAGTAGCTATGACACTTGCTTGTAAATTTCAGAGTTGAAGTAGTCGGTATTCGAGCGAATATTATGTGTGTGTGTGTGTGTGTGTGTGTATCAAATTCAGGTTTGAAACAGTTGTACGTTTGCAAACTTTCGTTTGTAAGTTTGTAAGCATCTGCTCTGCGATCTAGGCGAGCCGTTTCTTAGATAAAAATCAATCTCATTTGCATTTTTCTTTCTCATATTCTTTAGGCAACATATTTGCCCTAAAATGAGTTGGCTAGAACGATCTTGTAGCATAGTTATATAACATCTTATAGGACAAATTTTGAACTGTTGCATGAACAACTGCTTTTAGGGCATATTTACGCGGTAGTCAAAACAGTGGTGTTGCGGCATCCATGGTAACATTTATACAACAAAGCCGAGCTTTGTTCTTTTGGTGTGCAAAATTTCTACCTTAGCCATTAAATTACGCCCAACGGATGCATTTATCTAACTGTCGTTTAGTGCCGGATAAGGGCTGTACATTTGCAACAATATCACAACATTTATAGCACAAAATTGCTGTGCTCGGTCACAGCCATCTTCAACTAATTGATTAATTGAAGAAGGCTGTGGCTCGGTATACATTTGTTGCTAAATATATCAATATACAACTTCACCATAACCTAATTTTCTGCTGTCATCTTTTTAGGTTAAATGCCATTACCAATATTTTAAATTCCTGTATAACACCTCCAGATAACACCAAAACATAATCCAAAGACAATATGAACGATGACTTGATTATATTCATAACCACCCGCCATATTGGGTAAAAAATTAATTCCTATACAGAAAATCCAAAAATTCTGCTTCAGTCCGACAAGACAGATATAAAATAATAAAAATTAGTGTAATTGTGTCTGAATATAGGATTTGTGGAAGATTGTAAGGCAAACAAGTTCAGATTTGTATCTTACAAATCTAGACATATTTTTGATCATTATTGAGAGATGAATCAAAACCGAAGGCTGCAGTAAATTGCGTCCTTATCTTGTAAGATAATCACAATAGAATATACTGCGCAAGTCACAGCGTTGACTTTGGACAGATGATTGCGCCGCCTACTTGCCTGGAGATCTGGAGGAACTATCGAAAAAATGTCGAGAATGCGCCTGGAATAAGTAAATCTGGGAATGTACCGGAGGATTTCGTTAGTTCCTAATTTGGAATCTGCTGAAAATGATTTTTCCGATATTGCAAGACTATTTCGTGAACACATATTCATAAATAAGGGTAATATCTCTTTCGGCAGTTTCGCTGAGAACAACGTTCAGAATAATAAAATCCAATACTAATTATGATGCTCAAAATATATTTTCAATCAAAAAATAATCATTTGCTTTTGACAATAGTATAAAAAATGTATTAGAAGAAAATATAGATAGATGTATTCTAAATTCACGTTGTGTGTTGTAAAACAATGTTTCATTGAATTGCATCTTAATAATTCTGAAACAGTACAAAAAACACTAATGTAATTCTTTGTAAATAAGCTAGTCACTTTTAATTAGTTTGCTCAGTTCTATGCCTTTAATTTATCGACCTAGATGGGCAGAATTTTGCTTTATAAAGCTTAGGGCTTTATGACTCTGCCGATATTACCATGTCTTATTTAATACAAGAAAACATTCGTACCTCATATGACGGTGCTACAAACTACAAGGTTTATAAAGAGGCTGAATCCAGACATGCGATTTAAAATAATCTACCAACTACATCATGTCGATAATTTCACATTCAACCTGTAGCACTTGATGACGTAACAGAGTCTGCTGAAATTCTGCATCTCCACAGTAGTCATCATACATATCACGTATACCATCACAGCTACTGATAATGCTGCTTTATATTTTATACTCATTTTTAACGAAATATCTCCGAAAGCATCAGCGTTGAAAATCTAGATATTAACCAAAACAAACACCATATTTGATATTTTTACATTTAGATAAAGATAGAGAATCCCGGCAAGCAGTACGTCGTGATGCCGGTAATGCAGTTTCCTCGATTTTGCCTAGAGAGGATGACCTAGGTGTTGCCAGTTCGCCCATAAGACGTTCATCCCCCGGACTTCGCCTATACAATACATAGGATGTAGTATGGTTGTCATAAAGTAGAATCATGTAACAGAATTGTTGTATAGTTGACAAAAAATTAATCTCGCATTAACGCAAACGTTCTTTAGTGTCTACAAGAGTCTTTACACTTTTGTTGTATAGCTGTTACGTGTAGCCCTTATACAAGCTTTAAAATGACTAAAGTGTCCTATTAAGTGTGCCGCCTGTATAGCAGTTCTAAGATCGTTTTGCCAATGCTCTTGCAACATACAGTGCTGTGTAAGGAATATTGTATAATCGTTCTTGCAACCGTAATACTAATGATAATTGTTAGTTGGGAGCTACCCGCGAAACACACAACTACTACTGGGAATAGGAGGCCTAATATTATATATATATATAAATATACAGTGTGACTTCGAAGTTGAGTCATTTATTTTAACAGTGAGTAGATCTGATCAAAAGAAATGTTTTTTTCCTTTAACATTTTTCTAGTAAAATTAAAGTAACAAAGTTATAGCCCTTTAGAAGTTTGAGTACCGCCCTGTCAAAATAATAATATTATGTGCTCGTGTTTGGCAACAACGGATATATCGGTTCATCGCATCGGAAACAAAAAGCGAAAGAATTTGAAACGTTTATCACGATGTTTTTCGTCATTCGGTAACGCGTGAGTGAATAGTGGTGTTTGTTGCGTGGCTCAAACGAAATAAAAAATGGCACATGTTTACGAAAATGCTGAACTTGTGGACATGATTCTTATTTACAAAATGCTGCCGCGGCATCACGGATTTGTGCGAATCGGTTTCCCAATCGAGTGCAACCAACCCCTCGTGCCTTTGTTAATGTAGTACAAAGGGCTCGTGAATCAGGTGACTTAAGACCTCACAGAGGAGGGCATGCCGGTGCTCCAAGACCGCACGATCAAATACAGGTCCGCACTGAAATAATTGTCGGGAGGATACTTTATAAAACAAGGTAACATTTTTTTTTATTTTTTTTTTATTTTTACACACATATTTTGGTTTATCTTCCTTCTATAATCATTATCTGAAAATTAATGACTCAACTTCAAAGTCACCCTGTATATATATATATATATATATATAATATTCATCACACACTATTCGTGACATCTCTATTATAAATACTATTTGTGCTTAAGCTGTACCGCGGTAAAATAATCATTCAGCGTTATGCCGAAGCAAACTTTTATTCCTTTTAGGCGTCGATCCGGCCCTGCTGAACTTACCCTTTAATAGCGCCTGATCTGATATAAGGGAATCGGTGGTTCGCCAGCTGTTGCAAGTCACACGTTTACGTCGGCGAACGTGTTATTATTTCGAAATTTTGACATAAATAATTGTTATGAATAAATAATGGCCGAGGCGACTTGAGGAACGTAAAAATGAGCTAATGAGTGTGAAAATAACGAAACGGAGGCTCTCTCGTCGCCATCAAGGAGAAAAGATAATGGTTGTGTACTGTTTCATATAAGGCCGGAAAAAATTATTTCGTTAATTCTGACAAATATGACGATGTCGCCGACGTAAAAAAATATAACGAGGTGCAGACGGATTCAGTCAAGACGTTTTATTACGCCAAGAAAATGACTGATGACATTCGATGTGGTAATCCAATCAGCATTTATGGTATAACTGAGGTTATTCGAAATTAATCATCAAGCTTATAAATAATGTTTGTTTTATAACTCTTACCACCACTAGAAAATAAGTTAGAAATAGTTTCGCTAACTATAGAACACTTAGTGTAGGGTATGTTGTAGCAGAAGCTGTATGCGGAACAGATGATTTGCTAAGGCTTTGCTAGTGCTAGTTGCAATGCGGCATTGTTTTGTCTGCTAGACAATTGTATCCAATCACTTGCAGTTGAAGACGCCCTTGTTTCCTCGATTCAAATGGACAAGGTCAGCCAACCTAAACAAATTAAATATTCCCTGTCAAATCTCCAACCTATAATTTTGGTTTTGTTTTTTCCCTTCAGAACACATGGTTTTAATTTACAAAAGCAAGTTGTAATCGCCGACCATCGAGTATCAAAACACAAACAAACGTATATCTGTAAACAAATTTAATAAAATCACACAATCCATCGGACCTGACCTAGGGATATTTGGATGCATTGATAGCTTATAAGTTACTAACCATTACCACAGAATTGCAGACAAATTTGCGTGGAAAATCCAACTGAACCAACTGGTTTGTTAGCGCGCATGCGTCTGATCAACATTTCTCTTGCTTGCTTGATGGCTGTAAAACCGCTATAGCGCATCAAGAAAGACTGTTGCGTTCACAATATGTTGTTTTTGAGTGAAGTGAACTAAAGATATGTATTGTTTAAATCTGTGTAACAAATGCGTTGTCCTTTCATTCTTTTGTTGAAAAGTGCATCAAAATGAATTGCATAACCTTATCACTATCACAGCACAACTTTTTCAACTAAGCTATAGTAGTTTATTTTCCTCACCTCCTTCAACAGAAGCAGGCATACATTTATGTCACAAACATATACAGTCGTCCCTGCGGCGACAGTGCTATCATATTTTTTCATTTGCTGATTCCAAACACTTATAAGTCTTGGCGGTATATGGCGGGAATCCATATCAATGCGCTCATAGTTTGTGTGTATCCTTCGTTTTGATATACACTGAGAACCAAGTTTGCATGAGGGCTTGAGTTTAATATGTAAGAGGCAGATTGCAGGACCTTCTGCGTCACCATTGCTAGACAATGTGGTGATACGTTCGTTCTTCAGTCGGCTTCCATCTCTTTCTAACATGTTTTGATACACATTCCTCGCGCTTCTCTCTCGTATACATTGAACTCAAGCCGTCAGACAAATTTGGTTTTCCCTGTATCTCTCAGTAATCTCGAACAAATGCTTAGAATACTTCTTCTCTTGTTTTTGTTGCATTACACACTTTACCAGTCGGTGAAAGGAAAATAGCCATTGATCAACATTTCAGCAGTTTATTAAGCGCCAGCAAAAACAGCAACGATTTGTGGTGGTTCTCAGTCAAACTCAGCACGATAGTTTTTACCTATTAACCGGTATCTATAAATGGTCACAAAGTTTGAAGGGAGATAGATCGTATTAAAAATATAAGTTATGAGTTATATTCACAAGAAGTCTATTAGCGGTAATAATCATCGTTCCTTTGTGAGACTTATTCGGTCAATTGTAAGCTTTTAGTTTTTACGTACATTGGAGCATTGGCGTAGCCAGCGTACCCTTGTGATACACAGAATAGGTAGTTTCCTCAAAGGAGACTCGCCTTTCTAGGTAAGGGGTAGCTAATCTTTTTCTTGTAGAAAAAATAGAGCAAACGACTGGATGAGCTGATTCTATTGTCACGAGTGTAAGACTTTACACGCGCCAGCTCTCTAGCTAACGAAGAGATATCATCAACCACATCCTCTGATAAGTATGCATAATCAACAATGGTGTATTTTTATCAGCTTAAGTGGGGATATCATTGATTACAAAAACTAACTGGGATGACACGTGAAGGCATTTCGCTCTGGGGGCAGACGCCCTCGGGGTTTTCGTGGCATTCTGTCCTGTGCTCTAACATGTAACTATAATCAGTATCTCTTTTTTATACTTTTGAATCGGTCAAAAACCTTGTAAGTCGTTTTTTGGCGGTTAGTTTTTTTACTGAAAATGCTTCGTTAAAGGTTGCGTATTGAAAACGCCAAAATACAGTTTGACTGGGAGGCGTTCAGAACGGTACTAGAGTGGATGGTTTTGTCTATGACTGACAACTACAACTGAAAAATGTGCGTAGTGCTCACCGAGCAAGCCCGCCAGGTGAGCAGGAGGTCTACTAGCAGGTCCCGGAGCTTTGTGCCGTACTGGTAGAATGAAGACATTTATACCAAAATATGGACATGCAAGTCAGCGAGACGGAGACGTACAAGGATGCATAGAATAGGTCGCATAACCGAGGAAGCGTAATTAGTAGAAGAATATAAAAAGGTGATCATCAGTACGGGCTTAGAAAAGGTCATTCCAGAATTGAGGCGATGGAAACAGTGTAGAACAGGAAGGAACACACATATTACACTAGATGTTGAAAATACACTTAGGGCCAATTTCACCAACAACAGTCCGTTATTCTCAACCTATAGGGTAACAGACCGTCAGATACAGCGAATGAGCTTCAAGTTCCAATCAACAAATTTTAGCAACCAATAGCTATGAAATGTTGAAAACAAAATACTGTCAAAGTATGAGATGACAACTTGTCATTGAAACATCACCAGCTTATTGAATATTAAGAAATTACATATAATTCAGTCAACATTTTAAGAAATATTTGATTTTTGAATTAAATTCATGTTTTAATTACTATTGGTGATTTTTTATTCATGTTTATACATGTATTATTTTCTTCAATTGATATGTGATACTGAGTGTTTTTTCTTATAATCCTCTTGCAGATAGCCATTAAGCACCTACTTGATGACAGGCTCTACCAAAAGATATTGCTCGTTTTCAAACATTCATTCATTTACTTGCCGATCATCAGAACCATTACGGCACCTTAGATTGATATTCCCACAAAACTATTCAGGTTTTTTGATATCCATACATCCATAAAGTTGAATATTTTTCGTTGTTCAGGAACTGAACAAACATCCACACTATATTCACAGCGATTAAGAAATTCCAAAATATATGCCTTAAAGCTACCAGCAAACCTAAAACCTGCAAAAAAAACTACAAATTTGCCATATGTTTCTTTTTTCACGAGTACACATGACGCCGCAAAATAGCTCCGTCGGTACCTTGGGTTATACATCTTGACAGTAGGGATGTTCGATACGATCCTATATTTAGAAGTATCAATACATTTCACGAGTATCGTCATCTTTCGATCTGGACTGTGTCAGCAAGAGTGACTGCCATTTGGCTGCGACATTACCCTGCCAAATCAGACATACGAGTATCTTTCATCATTTTCAAAGAAATTGTACAAAATCTTCAAATTTGTTGAAGTTGAAGTTAGCGAGTTTCACTTCATACGTTACCAGACATACCCAAATCATCAGTTGCTGCCGTGATATTCATTCCGACCACTGCATCCCCACGGCTAAGCGAACTGTATGTTAAATTTGTATTGATAGGGCAGCGGGTTATGCTATAAATCATATGTCACAGTGTTTGTGCACTGATTGCAACGGTTAGATGATACCAAAAACGTTTTCATAAATAGGAGATCTTTCCCATTCCGGATCGAACAATATACCAAAGATGCTTATAATCATGATACCTAGTAAATATTCACGAAAAAAAATTCAAAACCAGCAAATGTAAAAGATTCATTTCGCACCCTCCACCACGGGACGTGATCGCCGTTAGACTTGGCAACCCTGCGACTGACAGATAGATATCCCCGCCAGGCAAAAAGAAAAACATTACTAGTTTTTATGGTTTTTTGGACTTAAGAGACATTATTTGTGAAACATTTTTCATAATTTTTTGTCTATGTCCTTAGTAATTGCATTATGCATCAGGGAGATGTAGGGATTGACACGTCTTACACATATTATCTGTGTTTTAGGATGGAGAGGACATGTTTTTATGGCTTTGAAGAAATTCATCAACCCATAAATTAATAAATGATTACTATTATGACGTAAAGGAAGATGAGGAATTGGATGGAATGTAATTTATATTCTATTTTCTTGCAAAATACAGACAAATCCACACTATTCAACAGGTATGTAATGATAACTTTCAGTATATTGAAGTTGGTAAATTCAAGAGTGCCATGCATTAACAAACGTCCAAATCTGCTGCCAAATTTAACAGCTAGAAAATCGACCTATTATTTGCCGCATTGCCATTCGCTGAGGGGATAACGGATTGTTAAATGTAAACCTATAACATATATCAAAATACATAAAAGTTGTCCTGTTTTTTTTGTAAAAAAGCATCATGTTGGAATCAAAAAGTGGTCTTGTTTATAATACAGTCGAATTTTCACGATTTTATTCAATATTTCAATAGAAATCACTAATATTCAGAGACCTTTGACAGCTTCTGTCAAATTGGATTTCGATAAGGTATTTTCCCATTGGTCCATAATATTAATGTTGGTGAAATCGGCCCTAATACCGTAACATGGATTCATTTATTATATGAATTTAATCAGCAGAGATATATCACCTTACTTGTTAAAACTGGTGCCTACCTACTTTGTAGATCGTAAGCTGCAAGTTGCAAAGAACCATATAACTGAT